AGAACATGCTGGACAGATGTATTATGGGATGCATAGCTAAATGCAAAAAGATATCTCCCAAACAAATGAAGAACTGGAGTATAACAGTTCGAATATAAAGTAAAGCTTGATTCAGCTGAAATTGGACCAGGAATGAATACACTTAATGTACTATCTTTCATGTTAAAATGCATGTACATCTTTTACATCTCAGATGTGTTTTAAGTTTTCATTATCAATACAAATTATTTTCCTAATTAGGTAAAGGAGATACCAAAAATGCTTACCTTTCTCTGCCATGGATAAACAAAAAGGAGCTGTATTTTGAGAAATGTTATTACTGGATGGTGGAAGTAAGCAATCGAATTAAATGTCTAACGCAGCACCATTTAGTTTCACCTTGGTAAAATGGACGTTAGTGCTAATCAAGCAAGACAGTTCTTATAGTATTTCTTTATAATGCTTTGTTAATCTTTATGAATTCCTTTTCTGGACACTTTTCACAGACTAAGCAGGTTAGCATCAAACAGAGCTAATCCTCAAAATCTAGACTAATGAAAAAATCTTCTTAAAGAAACATCTTTAATACAAGAAATACGTTCTTCTTAGGTAGAAGGCAGGCAATAGCTGGTAACAATACTGTGTATTTAAGGGTTGCCTCTTCCAACTAGGTTAGAGTTTCAAACTGAAAATAATAATATGGGAGAAGATGCCCTCCTCACCCCCACCTGCCCATAACAAAGGCTCTCAGATGCGGAACCAATTCCTGCTTTTCTGCATACCTGTGGTTGTGTTATAAAAACAATTTTGTGTACAAATGGTTCTTCTTGCAGGATTCTAAGGAAAGGAATGTAACTAGTGGAACCATACCCATGGCGTTAAATGCAAAGGTGGAGACCTTGGTTCTCTTTACACATGGATTCTGCTGGAAGTAAGCTGAGCCCTAAGTGATCTTGACAAGTCTCAATGAGCATGAAGGTAATGGTAAAGGTTCCCCTTGACGTTTTTTGTCCAGTCGTGTCTGACTCTAGGGCACGGTGCTCATCCCCATTTCCAAGCCATAGAGCCAGCGTTTTGTCCGAAGACAGTTTCCGTTGTCACGTGGCCTGTGTGACTAGGGAATGCCGTTTTTACCTTCCCACCAAGGTGGTACCTATTTATCTACTCACATTTGCATGCTTTCAAACTGCTAGGTTGGCAAGGAGCTGGGACAAAGCGATGGGAGCTCACTCCATCGCGTGGATTCGATCTTACGACTGCTGGTCTTCTGACCCTGCAGCACAGAGGTGTCTCTGCGGTTTAGCCCACAGCACCACCACGTCCCTCAATGAGCATACGTCTCAACAAATATATGCAGGACCTTCCTGGAAGTTCATGTGCCTGAGCACACATTCTTCCTTCTTTAGCTTTGCTTTCCGCCTTCTTTTGTATAGCTCCCAAGCACCCAAGCCACTTTTAAACTATACATTTCTCTGGGCAGGAATCTTACTTGGTAAAGTGCTAGTCATGGTGGTGGTGGTGGTGGTGCCAAAACCCTGGTTTTGTTCTTTATTTAGTTAGCTCTTCAATGTTTTGCCGCACATGCAAGAGGTGGAGGCAACTTTCAATGCCAGTACAATCGGAACAACCAAAAATGCGACACACATGATGTAATTGATGCAGTCCTACTTTGGGCACGTCATGAAAAGGCAAGACTCACTGGGAAAAAAGAACTGGGAAAAGTCGAAGGCAGCAGGAAAAGAGGAAGACCAAATGTGAAATGGCCAGATTTAATTAAATGAGCCCTGGCCATAAGTTTACAAGAGCTCAGCAGTGCCATTACTAGCGCTTTGGAGGTCACTCATTCATGCGGTCACCCTAAGTTGGAGGCAACTTGATGCCACATAATAACAGCAACCAACAAGGACTTGGAGTCTGTGGCCAAGATCCAATGGAAAGCTTTGGTATCTGTTGGCAATTGAACTTCTTCCTCCTCCCTCCTCTGCTGCAGCCTTCTCTGGTGTGAAAAAGTTAATATATACAGTATATGTTTTAAAAAGCTCCAGAGGGTTTTCCTTCTTTAGGTCCTCAGGGGGAAGGGTCTCTGGCAAAAGCTGTGGTATCTAGCGGACATACTGTACACCTCTTGGCTGTGGGTCTGAATATTCAATGCAGTGCAGTCTTATACATGTTAACCCCATTGTCACATGAGTGTCCTGCTGTGATCAAAATGTATACGATTGCAACCTTCATGTGGAAGAAGTCTATAGAAATCATAATTCTTATGGTAGTTTTCTGTTGAATACACTGCCGTTTTACTAATCCCCCTTTAAAAAAAATCAGAAAGACTGTGCAATCTAAACTTAAAGATATGTTGGCGGTAGAGGGCTTGGAACAGGCAGAAGCTTCTTGTGTTGAAATGATTGCCTTTGTGCCAAGGAAACTCTCTTTGTGCCAGCACAGGCCCTTTGAGCTGGCAGATCCAGCATAACCGCTGTGCTGTCAGAGAAGAGCAGCAGCAGCAGGAGAACGAGAAGTATACGATCCTAATTAATTAATTTATTTTTAATTATCTGTGAGGTTCTGTCCTGTGCTGGTCAATTGGAGAGTGGAGGAGAGGAGATCCACCTTTGGACGAGATCCCGATGAGCATCTCTCTGCTAAGGACTCTCTCCCCAAAACTTGTGTCTATGAGAGTTTTTAAGCACAGATGGTATTTGTGGGAAAACCCAATGATCTTTTGCTTGGTCCAAGCGCATGGGTCATTCTGACTCCAGGCACTGTCAATTCAGCCACTATTCCAAGCGTGTGTGTTTTTAAGAGAACGTGTACCAGGTTAGTTTTTCAAAGAATACTGTTTTTCAATCATTTGAGGAAAACGAGAGAAGCATCTTCAATTAGAACCTAAGTATCTACACTTTGAATAGGGGGTAGACATTCTTCATACGGTGATGAAGAAAACATTTCTTTTCAGTATCTTTTCCTTTTGGCTATGGTCATGTCTGAATAACGTCTGCTTACAATATCCTCTCGCTGAAGTACCCCCACCATGTTTTTGTAAAGGTTATTAGCAGCTATAATTGCTTTATGATTTTTCATAAGGTGGGCTGCAGATCCTTACACTGTAGCCATGACTATATAAAAAAGGAGTAAGCAGTGTCTGCTTTAAAGCCTTAAAAAAAGAGCAAGATTTGCAGGGAAAACCATATGGCCTATTATTGGGGTTGAAGTGTGTCCCAAGACTTACGTTTTTTTGGAATGGCGCGCTTTCTCCCTGGCGTCGCCAGGATTACTATAATTCAGCTGTTCCTGGGATGGCCTAGAAACAGACCAAAAGGAAGCAGCTCCCACGCTACTCTGTTAACATATGAAATGGGTCTGGTTTTTCAAAATGACAGCAAAGAACATGGAAAAACAGCACATATTGGTGTAATGGGAAATCATTATTATTCATTACTTGGCAAAAAAAAGAAGTGTCTTCTTAAGGATACCTAATTTCTAATCCACAGACTGTCAACAGTCTCCAGATTGTTTGCTCAGGGTCTCCGAGGAAAGCTGTAGGCCTGTAGCCATTTCATTTTGGCTCCTTCTGTCCTCTTTCCATCAGTTAAACCCCATTAAGTGCAAACAGAAATGTGCTGTAAGAATTTGACTCATGGGTTTTCATTTGATTGCCTCATCAGGGTGACGGATCGTAAATGCGAAAGCGGTCGACAAAATGAACCAGCTATTATTTATTTTTGTATCCGTATGCTGGTAGGGAGGGAAAAAACACATTGGGAAGCGTGGACTTAAATGTACACAGACTATAGCACCGACTCCAAGGGTGCCTATCATATGATTCTGATTTGTGCTACGAATTTGTTCCTGGAAATAGTTAACATTTGGCTTGAGTTTTGAGACCGATTAAGCATATTTATAGTATTTCAGTCAAAATTTCCTGTGTTTGGCTCTCTCTATGTAGCACTGCCAGCTTTTGCTTCCGTATCAAGAAGAACTTGACTGTATTCCTGGAAGCCGTTCTTGCGTTTTAGACTCCCTCCTGCCCAACTTCCTTCCATTGCCATGTTGGTGCCTTTGGGTGATCTCAAGGGAGAAAATAACTTGGACAAAGGCTGCTATCCTCAGCATACTTGCTTTGAAACTTGCTACGAAATGAATGGGTTTTACTTTGAGATAATCAGATGCTGGAGACAGGAAACGGTTTTAAAAGAGATCTTGAAGGTGATGAGATAGAGGCATTGTTGCCTTTGGTGTGAACACACATCCCAATGTTGTTTCAGATAAACAGGCTGAGCTCTTACGTGCCAACCCTATCCACTGCAAGCAAAACTATTGACTGGAAAACACAGAAGGGGGTTCAGGACTCCCAGCCCAGGGAACTGACTCCACCCCTTTGTCAGGAAGCTCCACCTTTTCAAATAAGCAAGAAGCAGCCATTGCCCCTGTTGCATCATTGCTGCAAAAAGGCACAGGTGGAGCTTTTCAGGAAGAAAGACATGTCCACCAGTGAGATCAATGTGGAGGAACGAAGGAACTGCTCAGCCTTAGATCCTAAGAGCAATCAAAGCGGCCCCATAGCTAGGGAAGGCTTGCCATCCTCTGGAAGGCAGTCTAGGAAGGGGGAATCTTTTACTTAGGGGCTTCCTGTGGCTCCCAGTTGTCTAAATACATTTAAATTGAGCATGGAAAAATTCCTCCAGCATTTTCCTCCCAGCCTCTGGGATGTGTACTTCAAAATAACATTCCCAAGCTTTTTGAAACCTTGAAGATACATTCTCTAAAGTAACACCTTTCAGTTTGCCAAAAGGAAAAGTTTTAACTGTGATCATTTTTAAAAATGAAAAGTTGTTTTTAGATTATTCCAGGCGGGTTTTTTTCTTCAACCAATAGTACCAGCAAAGACATTGTTTCTTTCACTACAGACTGGGACAAAATCAAACAAACCACAGACAAGGAGCACTTGCAGAAAGAAGTTTTTCAACAAAAAAAGCTCAGTAGCACAAGTTTGTGAAAGTTAAAGAGTAATGTGCAGAGAAATATTTTGATTTAATTATTCATCTGCTATGCAGACACAATATAATAACCACTTGATTTATAAAATAAACAATAGGGCTCAGTTTCCATGAGCTGTTAACCCAAATTTTAGCAGAATCAATGAAGTTACATAATGGAAAATATATACTGTATAATTCTCCCCCCTACGAAAGCCATCTGAATAGGAGAAGCTGCAACAGATTCCTTTAATCTGCAAACAGATCTTAGTGGGCCTTGAAATCTGGAGGTGAATCTACTGATGAGTATATCAGGAAAATAATCAGCAACACCTCACAGCCCTATTCATTTTCTGATCTTCTTGTTTTGAAAGCATAAACTTTGTCTTTCTTTGGGGGTTCATTATCATCTCCTCTTCTTTCTTCTTGATGGTGGCTCATACCAGCGCCTTCAGGAAGAGTGGACAGGGAGATGGTGTCACTTGCCTCAAACTCCAACATGGCTAGTTATGGCTCCAATTTTAGGGTGAGTCTACAGTAGCAAAACAACCCCCCAAAAAACACCCCCCAAGCTAGAGTTCTAAACAGACAACGTGCATCTTTTATGATGCTTCCCAAAAAGTGTTTTAAAAGACTGAAACACAACAAGCTTTTTCCCAAATCCACATTTTCAACCACCCACAGCTTTCTTGGGGGGCATTTCCTGGTTAGGGTGGTTGGGCCTGCTGAACAAACGGGGCTGTATTATTGTACAAGGAAGCATTTCCAAAGGAGCAATATGGCATTTCTTTTCCATGGCTGCATTCCTGGGGATGAAGGACAGTCATCACAAAGCCAACTATCATAACTAGCACACCAACGGCAAGGATCAGGCCAGACAGGAGATTATCTGAATGGGTCCATCGCTCTTCAGACAATTTCAGATAGCAGGCAGCAGGCAGAATGAAGACCAAGGGAGTAGCGCTGAGCACCCCCTGCAAAAAAAAGGTAACATATTAAATATGTGGCAAGTTTTATAGGCACACCGCTGTAATTCACTACATGCAAAGGGAGGGGGAAGGAAATGGAACTGGGGAAAATGCAATGGCTTTCAATTGCTAAATAACAGCTACAAACGTCTGCAAGATGCTTGGAAAAATCTCAGAATGGAAGAAGTGGCTTATTCATGTTGCCAGAGGAAGGAAAGTTTACCCAAATAATATGCAAAACTACGCAAATGATTCTTGCTTCAGGAGTTCCCGAAGTCACACAAGCTGGTTACTTGTAGTCATAACAAATGACTAGAGAATTTGTGGTCAGAAGCTCCTTTAATTTCAGAGCTGGCGTACACACAGTAATTGTGAACTGGTATGTTCCAGGTTAGATATGATCTCTGCAATAAGAAGCAAGGTGCAGGTAACTCTCAGCTTGTACTCCCAGCTACGAGATGAGAAAGGGCTGTGGATAACACAGAACTGTTGTAGCTTTCTGAATATTCTGTAGTTGCTCTACAAATGTTGTTCATTATAGTTGTATGCTGCCCACCTTTCAAGTAGCTCAGGGTGGCAAGCTTATAGGGCAGCTTAGTCAAATCACAGCATCTGGGCCAAAGTCATGCACTTAACTCACAGCAGAAGAGGCGCTTAAATCCATGAGTGCCTGGCCAGAGTCCATTATTTAAGATACTGTGCTATACAAGTTCCCCAGTTACTGTTGTTATTATTGTGATTATTAAATGAGACACAGGAAAGCAAGTCCTTACAGTTGGGTTTATACGGCTAGGTATCAACAAACCTAAAAACTTGTATGTGAGCTTTCTAAATTGTGTCAGTATTGCAACCTCCTCATTAGCAAGAACACAGTAGTAGCCGAGGAAGTGGATTTGTCCATGAAAGCGCACATTAAGACATAAAGTCAATCGTTAAGGTGCCACAATGTTTTCATCTTTTTTATCTTGTATTTTTCTTTTGTTTTTGACCTGATACACAAGAACAGACTAACACAGCTACCTCTTCTCAAACTATAGTCCTAGCTGTAACCCAAGCACAGCATTTATGCTTACATGGGGGTAAGGCCTTAAATCTGAGCAGACCCATCTAAAACTGCACTGTTGGGTTAAAATTCCTTATTAGGGAAACAAGAACCGTTGGATTCAGTGGGGCTTGCTTTTGATTACGCACACACAGGATTGCACTCTGAAAGCATGGACTTTCCTTTAGTGTTTTGTTTTTTTACTTTCTTAATAAGGTTTTTTGTTTCTGATCATGGGGCATTCTTGGCAAAGATACTGGAGTGGAATTGCCGGTTCCTACCCCATCTACTTCTGCTTCATTGACAAACATCTACTTCTGCTTCATTGACTGTGCAAAAGCCTTTGACTGTGTGGACCACAACAAACTATGGCAAGTCCTAAAAGAAATGGG